ACTCATCTGAGTCACTACTTGAAGTTTCTGATGGTAGAAGTTCCTCCTCTGCAGTGAAATGAACACTAGAGTCAGAAGAACTTTGAAGTTCCTGTTCTGCAGTGAAATACTCGTCTGAGTCAGAAGAACTTCGAAGACTGAGTTCTCAGCTGAGAGTTCTGACCTGAAAAACTTGTTTCACGGCGTCTTCTGAAAGAATTCGATCGGCGGGGTTGACAGCTACCATTTTCTTAAGGAGGTCTTTGAAGTCTTTGACGCCTTCTGCATCGTTTACAGCTGGATCATTGAAACCAATGTCTCCACGGCTGAAGCCAACTTTTGTCCTCCCAAAGCTTCCCGAAGACGATTTGTATTCTTTTACGGTTTTCAGCGTCCATAACCTGTTCTGATTATCCTGCATCTGTTTAAAAAAACGCTGGACTCGTTTCCCTTTAGAAAGGAAGTCACCGTCGATCTGCTCTGACAGATCCACGACTGACTTTAAATAACTGTACTCACACTCCGTGCTGAAATAATGTCTCCCAAAATGTAAAAAGGCCAGAGTACAGCCGAGTCCCCAGATATCAAGACCACAGTCCAGAGGTACGTCTAGAAAAACCTCTGGCGCTGTGTAACCACAGGTCTCCGGAAAAACACAAGTCGACAGATCTGAGGTTTTACACGCAGAGCTAAAACCAATTAAACGCACACGAAAAGGCTGATCGTTGCGATTTACAATCATTACTCTTCTCGGCGTGATGTTCCCGTGCACGATCCCTGCATTTTTCAGAGAAATCAAAGCCATCAGAGTCTGTTCTGCTATTCCACGGACTTCAGACAGATTCAGAGGTTTCCACTTTCTCAAGCTCATCGCCTCCAACAAAGTCACGTCCAATTTCTCAAAAGCAAAACAAAACAATTCTCCCCTTTTAAAATTCTCAATAGATTTAACAAAAAATCTATTGTCTGGATCCACACATCGGAGGGAATTTAAAATCTGCGCTTCTCTCTCGGCTTCATGCAGGAATTTGGGCTCGAGACATTTTAAAACGCATTCTTCGGTACTGGACAACCTGGCCGCGTTTCATGGTCCGAAGAACTTTTCCAAGCTGGTAAATGGCGTCTGCATTTCCAAAACTCGGTTTACCCCAAAACAAACCCATTTTAAAGTCTTTTTGCAAGTTTTAAAATCTTTTTGCAAAAATAAGTCTTAAAGTCTGTTTGCAAATAAGGAATAATCCAATCCTGTAAATATCTGCTCACCTTGGCCATCTTCTGCTAAGTAAGCCACATTGTGTCCTCTCGGCCTTACGTGCGTCATCGTTGCCTGGCCTTTGATACGTTGTTGTGACGTCACAGGTCCCGGATGTTTTCTGATTTGACGTCTTTCCAAACGGACGTCATCTTGTTATCAAACAAAAGTGAAGCTTTGTTACGTCACAGAAGTTCCTGGATGTTTTGGCATTGTTCCAAACCCATCGTTGAGTGGGTTCTGGAAGCACGCTCCGCACCGTCAGCTCATTTGCGCATGCGCTAAAAGAGCTGCTTCCAGGAGGGTTTCAGACGTTGCAGATCACAAAATGGACAGATTTTCAGTCTTTCTAGGTTCGTCACCTGAAATTTTTCCTGGAAAAGAAAACTTTTGCAGGATATGTGGATAACAAAATATGCCAGAGCTGGCCCCAGCGGTACGTCAGAGCGTCCGCCATATTGGATGTGGCAGACCTGCTGGTCAACTGATACAAGAAAATACATTGAACTTTATAAGACACTGTTCTACAAATTGTTTTAAGTTAATCCCTGTCATTCACACACACTGATATATTTGGAAAACAAACAGGCACCAAAGGCAACATTTGTAACTTTTACCGTGATTATTAAAAATGTTTACTCCTTAAATATTCAGGTTAAAGGTAAGCACTAAGCCATCCATCCATTATCTTTTACCCGCTTATTCCATTTTGGGTCACAGGGGTCGCTGGTGCCCATGTCCAGCAATCACTGTGCGAGGGGCGGGGTGCACCCTGGACAGGTCTCCAGTCCATCGCAGGGACACATAGAGACAAATGAGACAAACAACCATTCACTCTCACCTAGGGACAATTTAGAGTTACCAGTCAGTCTAACATGCATGTTTTTGGTCTGTGGGAAGAAACCGAGTACCTGGAGAAAGAAAACCCACACATGCACGGAGAGAACATGCAAACTCCACCCAGAAAGGCCCCCGGATCAGGATTTGAACCTGGGACCAGCTCGCTGAGAGGCAGCGGCTTTACCAGTTGCGCCACCGTGCTGTGGCAACTGGTGCTCCAATAGGGACACCATTTTGAGGATAAAATCAGAGGAAGAACTGCTGGGACCAACTTGAAAAAAGCATCCCTTCGGCTTTGTCAGTGTTTAGGACAAGTTGGAGATGACTGGATGACGTTGAAAGCGGATTGCAAAATTTGGAAAGCCTTAGCAACTGTTTTAGCTCGACAATAAACAACTGTGTCATCAGCATAGAAATGTAAGGATGTATCAATGATGCTCCGACCTACATTACCTATGTAGATTGTAAAGAGGGTGGGTCCTAAGACTGAGCCTTGCGGTACACTATTGTTGACTTAAATAACTGGAGAAAATACCATTATGTTGAACACATTGCCTCCGATCTGAAAGATAGAGAACCAACCGATGGTATGATCTGAGAAATCAATTTCTGAGAGCTTATGACATATCCACAGCGTCAAAAGATTTAAGAAAAGTGCAGCACAATAATCCTTAGCATCCAGTGCTTCAACAACGTCATTATAAGAACCTTCAGTGAAGCAGTGCTGTGTTGTTTCCTGGTTGTTCAGTGAGGTGGGGTCACCTCCCTTCAGCAAAGGAAGAACAAAGTGTTTTCCAAGCGTCTGGGATGGAGTTTTGGCTTATGGACTTGTGGGAATATTATTATGTTTATATATTCTATTATAACATCTGTAACATTATATATTATTATTATGTGGGTGATTATTGTTATTCTTTTTTTTTCGTTTTGTGGTGGCACGCTGAAGAGGTGATTCAGCCATCTGAACCAACTGTGCTGAAGCAGAGAAGTGGTACCTGTACACCTGGATCCTCTTGTTGCGCTTTCATTCGTGCACTTACGGTAAAGCTCTGACGTCACGCGGAAGAAAGGTTTCAGCTACAGCTAGCTGCTGCCACAAACACACACAGGGATGTAAAAACACCCCTGGCCTGGTTTCTTTTGATCATTTTCTGTTAAACATATATATAGGGTCATAAAATCCCCTCGAATCCGCCACTTCTCCTCGCGTATGACGGAGTATTTACGAACATGGCGACGTGCGTTCCCTTCCAGAGCCAGCTGTCCTCCATAATGGAGGTCTTGGTGAAGGCAGCCGTGGCAGAAATCTCCAAACTAGTCGATGACAAATGTGCGATTTTCCACCTGGAGATATCCCGAAAACAAAGCGAGAACGAGATGCTGAAGAGGAAACTGCTGCTGATGGAGAAGGAAAACGAGCAGCTGCAGCGAGGACTGGGTGAGACGTTCAAGTGCACGAGAAATGATGTTTTTGTTTGTTCTCGGTGCATTTAGTCGATTTCATCGTTTTATTACGTCATGGAAGTCGAGCCAAAGCCCAGGATCTGCAGGAGTGCAGCTCACGTTAACCCAAATCTGTTTATTTACAGCATTTGCTTTAAAAAATTGTTTTAATTCTTTAATAACTTCTTTTATTCTTCATTTAGAAAACTACATGGATCGAGGAACAGATTTGAGAGGCAACAGTTTGCGTCCAACAAGAGATATTAAGGTGAATATCTGATTTAAATGTTCAAAAGCTTTATGCTTTGCGTTTGTCATGTCTGTTTTCAACATTTGTACCTGGATGAATGCTGATTTACCAACAGGTAGAGGCGAGAAACCCCCAGAACTCCTCTATGGTACAACAATATTTAATTTCCCTTTGGGATTAATAAAGTACTTTTGCATTTGAATGTTGTGGATAATTTATTTCATAATTATCGCCCACCACTGAAAGGGCATTTGACCTGAAATGTGGTGTGGTAATAGCTGAGACTGATCCCCAAAACCCATTCTGCATGCTAATGGACAGTGCAGGGATGCTAATTTTAATTAAACTTTAATAATAATATGCTCCTAATATTAATATGTTCAGCAGTAAAGTTTCAGACAGGTACACAACGTTCGGTGTTGTCTAAGAGGGGCCAACTAAAACTGCTCCATCTTTTTTCATCTACGTAGTTTGCTGAGATTCAAGACGCCAGCGCCTCTTTTACAATTAAAGAAGAAAGTCCTGATGAGGAGTTATGGATCAGTGGTTCTGCTGGTGCTGTTGGTGAGCTCAAGACCTCTTTTCTAAACAAAACACAATTATACCTTTTTATTTGAAATATATTGTTTAGGGCAGGGGTCTGCAACCTTTACGATCAGAAGAAATGAAGTTGATATGATGGTTGCTCCAGGCGAGCTGGACGAAGGTGGCCGACTGTGGCAAGTCAGTCGTGTCATCAATAGCCACTTTTACCTATTACATGACACAACAGCATGCCATACTGCTCAAGTGCCATCTAGCGGCTGAAAATGGTAGTGTTCAATATTTTCAGTCGGAATGAATGAAAACTATATCTCAGCCAAAAATTGGTTTATAAATATGGGAAAAATCCATAAATACGTCGCTTCGGCGTATAAGTCGCAGGGCGTGCAAACTATACAAAAAACTACAACTTATAGGGCGAAAAATACGGTACTCCACATTGAAGTAAAACATGAAGTTTAAATGGAGTATAAGAATTAGAGCTGTTTGTTGGAGGAGTAATTGAATGTTAAAATTTAAATAGATACTTCCATTTACTTTAACTTTTTTTTGTTTGTTTGATTTTTCATTTTTATAGTTATCAAATTAAGTTTCTTCTCAGCAGTTTGTCTCAAAGGTATTCTCAAAAGAATTGGGTGGATTTGAAACAAAGAGACCATCAGACTGGAGGTCATCTTAAAGACGTGGCTAACAAACTACTAGCATGATGCAGTTATATTTTTTATTTCTTGTACTGGTGCTATCATTCACATATTTTCTGAAGACATGACAAAAAAAAACAGCTAAAACTGCCAATAAAATTCAGTTTTATGTTAGTTTTGGTCAAAGCTTGAAAGAAGGACCAAAGAGCTGCATGTGGCTCCAGAGCTGCAGGTTGCAGACCCCTGGTTTAAGTTATTATGTCTCTGAGCTGCAGCTAGTTGGCAAATGGCAATCACAAGGAAGACTCCGGGATATTTGAACATCTTCAAAAATTTTGTCTGCAACCAAAAAGAAAAGTGTCCGTTTTCCCACGATTTTCTCTCACATTTAGTCTCAGACTAGTCTCGCAGCAGTTGCAGCCCAGTGGTAAACGAGCTTTAGTCTTTACGGACTAACCTGTATGAATAAAGGTTGGATGAACAGACCTAAGATCTTTTTCTGCCTGTCTTTTGCAGGAGATGCTGTGCAATACCCTGATACTGGTAATGATCCAGAGAACCATCAGTTAACCCAAACGGAGGTCATCAGACAAAAGCCTTCGGAGTTTGGTGACTCGTTTAACTCTGGTCCACATCCAGCGGACATGGGTGGTCTTCAGTTCACGGTCAAGACAGAGAAGGAGGAGGACCGAGTGTCCTTCAGGCAGGATGGATGTCAGCACAGCGTGGGGAAGCAGGCTCAGATTGCTGCCGAGTATCCCGTGGATGAACGAGAGAATCAGCTCTGGTCGTCTATTATCGAAGGTAACGATATCGACACAGGGTTTCCTGACTTCTCCAGCGTAGTCGAAGAGTATTCCAGCTCCTTCTCGGAGCATTCGGATGCTACGAACGTGGCGTCTAACGCCAACAAGCCGCCTTGCGTTCAGCAGTGCAAAGGGATTTACAGCAGTGAGTATCAGAAGGATCCTCAGCTGTTGAACTTTCAGCCCAGACATCAAGCTGCTCTGCTGCAACCAGATAAGAAGGCGCAAATATTCCTGCAGAGGAGCACGTCACGCTCTGCTCAGCCCGAGATGGAGATGGTCACTGAGGACAGATCAGGTCTTACCGAGTCACTCAACACTTTCACACCGACTAATTTCTACCCCCATAAACCCCTGTCTGCCATGACTCGGGGCTACAGCTGCTCCCAGTGCGGGAAGTCCTTCAGTCGCCTGCATCAGTTCAGGCTACACCAGCAGAGCCACAAGAGGAAGCGAGCTTTCTGGTGCACGGTGTGCGGCAAGAGCTTTCAGTGTTCGTCCCACCTCAGCATACACCACCGGACACACACGGGGGAGAAGCCGTACGGCTGCGGACAGTGTGGGAAGAGGTTCACACAGCAGAGCAGTCTGAGGGTCCACCAGCGCACGCACAGCGGGGAGCGACCCTACAGCTGCTCGCAGTGCGGGAAAACCTTCATCCTGATGCACCATTTGAAGCGACACAGGATCATCCACACGTACAGCTGAGGCGGAGACGCGTCCAAAACTTTCGAAACCAAATCAAAAAGTCAACAAACTGCAGCTTTTTAAAAACTTTCGCCCCGTATGTTTCGTGCATATTTTACTATGCAAAATCCATCTGGGATGGATTTGAGGTGGTGTTTCTTTTTAGAACATTTATTTTAAGATCAAAATGTGAAATTGACTCTGACACTCTGCATTTTCCAACGCTAGAAACCAAAAACAGCAAAACGAACGAGGTGTGGGACCACCAAACAGAAGCGTCTTCTCACGGCTGCACGCAAACCTTTTCCTTTTTAACAGTTTGAGCTTTTTGTCGATCAGTGAGCGCCACTCTCGAGTTTTCCCGACGACAAGTCGACTTTTGTTCAGACTTCCTTCCACGTCTTAACGGTTACAACGTAGAGGTGTAACGAGATCTTGTGAAATTAAAAGCGTAGCCAAATTTTTCATCAAAATGAAAACCGTTTCATCACTTCGTCCTGTGAAGTTATCGCTGAGAATAAGTAAATGAGTCACGACATGGTCGTTACTGTAAAGTCAGATCAGTTGAGTTGGGAAGGCCGTGTGTCTTTGGTTTTGACTCAGATTGCTGAATCTTAGGCGTGCAGCTAAAACCACTAGAGGGTGGTGTGGCCGGCTCTTTAACCGCTGACGGCACAGGAAGGGTGAGATGAACTTTAACGTGAAGTTGCACATTTTCAAGTTCCCTTTATTTCAGATAAGAAGTCTCAGCTGACACCTGCTTGTTGGGTTTATGATGAGAGCAGTTTTCAGCTCAACTCTGTTCAGAACAGTTCCTGAATTTTAATATTTTATAATTAATAATGGTTTCTAGAGAAGTCTTGATAGCTATAGAAATCTTTATTTTTTCTTTCGCCTTCATCTGGTAGAGAAATTACTTAGATTTTATTTTAGATTACTTAGACTCGTTCCTCTAGGATGACAGCTTGAGTGACGTCTTGACATTTTTTGCCTCACAAAGTCAGAACTTCTTTTCCGCCCAGCTCAAATTTATCTGCAGATTCTTGCAATTAATGACGTTCTCATAAAAATAAATACAATAAAGGTAAAAAGTTTGAGCACGCAGCACAAAACTGCCAGTTTTGTGGATCGTGCGGTTTGTCTCTGAGCTGCTTCAGGGTTCAAATGTAATCTGGATACTTTTTGTTTATCTTGTCAGTACTTTGTTATCCATGCATTTTCAAATTAAAAGCCTTGGTTGAGTTTTCACGGTGCTTGTTCTCATGCACGTTTTTTCTGCAGTAGGCTCTGGCTTGGTGTTTTTGCAGCTTTTAAAGCACACTTGAAACACAACTGGAACTTTGGACCCAGCGATACTTCCTTTTTCAATACATCTACTCAGATTACAGCAGATTTAATCATTATTTTTATGACTGGAGGAACAAACTATTTTCTGTGGTAAAATTGGCGTTGTTTGAACATTTTCCCCTCAGATCTGGAGTTTTTAAAGTCCTCCATTAATAATGGTGTGACTTCCTACCAGTTTACACCTGAGCTGTACCTGCCTCGATAAGGTCATCCTGTTTTTCTTTACGCGCCTCATGACTACAGCAGCACGTTCATTTTAAAAGAAGTTCCAGTTTGCACAAGAGGTCAGATCCTGGACGTCTGTACCTTAAATGCATCACAGACGTACAAACCAGATTTCAAAAAAGTTGGGACACTAAACAAATTGTGAATAAAAACTGAATGCA